TTTTTTTTATTTTAGTAAGTTATTAGTATAATGCGTCAAGCGTGTCTTTGCATTGTTCTTACATATGCGTACAGTATTGAAATATGTATCAGAGACATTGTAGAACATACTTTTTTTAAAAAGAGTAACGAATGGAGTTTCTTGCTCGTTCTTCTCCATTCGAATCTACGTTTTGGAATGAGCACCTAGCTTCACCTAATTTCACTGACGGACTGACTGACAGACTATTATTTATTTTGTATTTGTTGACGTTTCAAAAGTACCAAACTATGGTTTAATTGAAATAAATGCTTTTGACTTTGACTTTGACTATTCTTAATGTTAGTAGAAATTTCAGATGTTCCCTCTTCAATAGATTCTGATGAAAGTTGATGTTTTTGAGATCTGGTAAATCTAGTTAGTATGGGCAGCAAATCTGTCTTCAAACCTTCAAGAAAAGAGCGTATCCTTTTTAAAAGGCCGGTGATGCACCTGTGACTTCTCTGGTGTTGCGGGTGTCAATGGGGGGCGCTGATCGCTTACCATCAGGTGATCCGTCAGCTCATTTGCCTCTTATTCCATAAAAAAATAAAATATCTATTATGAATCATAATACCTGACAGTCACTGTTTTCCACATGTTGAAACTGGTAATTTTTGCTCATCATTGGTATCCTTATAACCTTTCCATCGATACGTTGGAACTTCGTGAGTTTTGTTAGACGCAAATCAAACGGAAATTCCCACGTGCCCTTCAAAATGTATAAAGACATTGCTTAGTTAAAGTACTTTAATATTTGTTAGTAATACAATTATCCTACTTAATATCTTATACCTTATTCTACCTCTATTATCTTATATCTTATACTATTATAGAGGTATAAAGCGAAAGAGTTTGTTTTTTTGTTTGTTTGTTTGAACGCGCTAATCTCCGTACCTACGAGTCTGATTTGAATAATTCTTTTTGTGTTGGATAGCACATTTATCGAGGACGGCTATAGGCTGTAAAACATCACGCTACGATCAATAGGAGCTGAGCAGAGCGTGTGAAACCGCAAGCAAGTAGCTAGTTTAATATTGTAAATGCGAACGTTTGTGAGCTTGTATGTATGTTTGTTACTCTTTCACGTCAAAACGGCTGAAGGGATCGAGATGATATTTGGAACAGGGAGAGCTTATGGTCTGGAAAAACACATAGGCTACTTTTTAATCCAAAGCCGCTGGCTGAAGCTAGTAATAATGATAATGTTCTCTTTCTATAATAACATTTGTGTATATGTCTTCTCAATGGTCATGTTTTTAGTGTTTGAAGTGATATAAAACCATAATTAAATATAGGTTCCTATACTTTTTGGAACTTAAACTGATGAAGGACAAAAAAGCATTCTAAATATTTTAAATCATAAATTTAAAATAATATTTAATTAAATTAAAATTCCACTTAATAGTTTCGAACCACAGAGGGGTTCTTCCTCATGAGCAGCGTGCGCGGTCGCGGCGACGTCGCGCAGCTCACTGGCTGGCGTTGGCGCTCGCCTCGGTGTTGCCACCTGCGCTGCGAGCCCAACGCGCCCTCTGTCGAACACTACGAGCGTTTGCTTCCAACTCCGGCAGCGCGTTGGACGAAGCTAAAGCGCACGGTACGTTCACCAGCGGCGCGGGTCGTGGGTTCGATTCCGGGTTCGGCACAAAGTCAGTGTTGCATATAACGCTTACTGTGTCACACTCCAGACTGGAGACGCTGTGGATCGACGAAGACTCCAAGCTCGGCTTCCACGCGGGTGGCAGTGCCCAGCCACCATCCCTGTTGAAGCACGGTCGTCGGCTGATCTCGATGGCCTCTCGCACTTTTCGCGGAACGAAGTATTTTTCTCTCGCTAGTACGGAGACCTTATCAAAACGTATGAAGTGAGCCGCGTCCGTACCACAAACATGTTCAGCCACTGCCGATGCCTGGATGTCCATCTTCTTCACGCTGCGTATATGTTCCTTTAGCCTGGTTGTGATGTTGCGACGAGTTTCCCCGATGTAACTCGAGCCACAGTCGCACGGTATTATGTACACTCCGGGTACAGCCAGTGGATCCTTATCTTTAGGTGAGCGTAGTAGTTGTCTTAGCTGACCGGGTGGGCGGAAGATCGTCCTGATGCAGTATTTACGGCGAAGCAGGTGTCCGATTCTGTCGGTTACTCCTTTCACGTATGGTAAGAACGCTGGAGTCCGTTCCGCAACTGCCGGTCGCTTCCTACTCGAGCTGCTCGCAAGTCGAGTACATTGACGCCAGTTGTATCCATTGTTTTCCAGTACCCGTTTTAAGTGGTGAAATTCGTCGTCAATATACTGGGGATCGCATAGACTCAGCGCCCGGTTTATCAAGGTCCGGGGAACAGCGGCTAGATGGGAGGGATGATGGTGTGAGTCAGCTCGCAAGTACCGGTCCGTGTGTGTCGGTTTACGATACACTGTGTGTGACAATCGACCATTTTCTTCTCGTCTTACGAGGACATCCAAGAACGGCAACATCCCTTCTCTCTCTTCTTCAGTGGTGAATTGTATACTGCCGTGCACTGAGTTCAAGTGTCCCACAAATTCAGCCACATGTTCCCGGTTGACGATCGCGAACACGTCATCAACATACCTCCACCAATGTCGCGGTCGTACCGGGGCGGATGCCAAGGCCTGACCCTCAAACCACTCCATGTAGATGTTAGCCACCACCGGCGCCAGTGGCGACCCCATAGCCACTCCGTTCACCTGCAGGTAGTATTCCCCTCTCCACAGGAAGTAACCTGTGGTGAGACAATGATTAACACACGCGATGTATCCAGTAGGTAAATCAGTGTCCTTAAGTATGTTGGTAATTATAGATATCGTTTCATCTACAGGAACATTTGTGAATAGCGATGTTATGTCGAAACTTATCATAATGTCTGTGTCTTGGAGGCGAACATCTTCCAATAAGGCGATAAAATGGCGGGAGTCCTTCACAAAGGTGTTTGTTTTACCGGTAAACGGTTGCAGTATAGTAGCCAAATGACGCGACAGGTTGTAGGTAGGTGCGTCTATTTGACTAACTATTGGTCTTAGGGGCCAGTTTGGCTTGTGGATTTTGGGCAACCCGTATATCTTAGGTGGCGTTGGGTTTTGAGGGCGCAGACTTGCCACCAGTTCCTTGTCACTAAGTATATTCACGTGAGTAACCCGCGTTTTTACTTAATTTAGTATGTCTCACGATAGTTATTATAAAAACATTCCACTTAATAATTTAAAATTTATATTATTTATATTAAAAAATAAAATTATTTTATAAAATTTAATTATTTATTAATACCTAATAAAACTTAAATAAATTATACTCTTTAAATTAAAAAAAAACAAATAACATGAATGATACCCACCTTGAAATGAGCAGCGGTGATTATAATCATTTGTGTTTGTTTGTTTATATCTGATTCGTCTACTATATTTTTTATCCGTCTGTACGTAATGGAGCTAATCTGTAAAACTTTAAATTGATTAATACATGTTTTTTTGTACCAGTGAGTTTTTTGTAATTGTCGTGGTGGCTAGGAGGTTAAAAGGACAACTACCGATGTGACATTTTCCGAGTTATATGTACTTTCTGAAATTATTTATTCACCATTACATATACACAAACGATGAAGGAAAACATCGTGACGATTCTATAATTTCTAATTAGTTTGAAATTGCCACCCTGCAATGAACAAGCGTGATGATTAATGCTAAAACCTTCTCCGTGTAAAAAGAGGCTTTGCTCAGCAGTGGGCACTTATAGGCTGTCGAAGATGAGTTTTTTTGAAGAGGCTTGCATCAGTTGTAATCAAGATTCTTATGAATTTCATTCACTTATTGCACTTAGGCGCAGCTAATTGCTAAGAATACGCGAATTAAATATGCACTAAACTTATAACTAATGACTAAACTTATAATAACTAATGATAATGAATGTATATTGTACTTAAGGTGCCATACGATTTAATAAATATGTATGTAAATAAATGAATGTCATATTTTGAACTTAACCAAAAAAGGACATCTGAAATTATTCATTGGAAATACAAAATATGACACATTAAAGATATTTAGGTCTGAAAATATACAATTTCCTATCTAAAAAATAATTTTAAAGACCCTCAAAAATACCCCTTTATAGATATAAATAAAGCCAAGATACACGCAAAAATAAAGCAATTAGTAAATCAGTATGTCACTTACCAAGTTATTAATATGTGAAATGGCTGCCTTTGGAAAATTAAATCCAATTTTGTCAACTTTTATTCCATAATTTTCAATTGAGTATGTAATAAACTTTGGATCTATTTCAGTAGTATAGTTCACGAAGATTCGATGCGCAAGGGTCAAATCTGTTATCAACATTGTTTTTATTGCTCTTTTGAGCCCTGCATAGTAGCCAATTAACTGGAATTAACGAAGTCAGGCTATTTCTAATAGTTTAATTAATTTTGTACATTTAAAAACAGGTATTTTATTAGAATTGAACTTTAGAATAGTTAAAAAAGAAAATTGTTCGTGGATATGAATAGTGTACTTCACAACTGATGGTTTAAAGCCAATACTATTATCAGTTGTTATATGACTTATGACCATAAATTCTCATATTGTCATGCGAGGATACATATGAGATGTAGTCTCTTTTTCATTCGCGGAAAGAATAGAGTGAAAAAGTATTCAACCATGTCGTCACTATACGTCTATATTACAGTACTTGTATTTATTTGAGGCAATTTAAAATGCTCTACTTTAAGTACTCACAGAGGCATTATCCTTATATCCTAGAGCAGTCATCAGTTCCACTTTGGCGTCACCTTTTGCAACACTCGCCAGCTTACAAAGCGGCATCCGCACCAAAACCTCTGAAGCCACTATATTCGTCCTTGGTTTTGCTCTTATTAAACTCTAGGAATAATATAAGTAATTGTATTTACTACCTTAGTTTTCTTTTAGAAACGTTTCTTAATTAAGTGTCATTTATTATTTATTATGGTTATAAAATCTACGCTATTTTTAGTTTAGACTCTGCTTAAGTTTACAAAAAAGAAGCTATTTGACTTTCATCTTCTATGCTGAATTCTATGAAAAATTATTACACATGTAATTACCATCACTAGCTTCTCATTCAAATTGTCAAATGTTAATTCACAAAAAGTTCTCATAAGGAAAAACGAAAATATTAAAAGTGTAAAAATATTTAACTTAAACATTAGAGTGAGTAAAAAAATACGGCAATGCGATACGAACATTCGTGTAATATTAATCTCAGCGGTAGTGCAGCAATAAATTTTTATATTAAAACATAAAAATAAAATCTTACTTATAAGGATTACCAATCCAATCATAAACAGTTCTTTCACAGCAATATGTGTATGGTTCAAAAGTGCGAACTATTTGTTCAATGCTATCATTATCATTAGCATCAAGAGTTTGAAGACCTGTATTGCATTGCTTAGCAAAAATTTCTTCTTTTATTACCATTTACTGCTAGACCACTTCTTCAATAACATGACCAGTGAGTTTGATATTCAGCTCTTTGTCTATACTTATAATAAATCTGTAGGGAGGTCAATTCTGTACATAAAATATATTTAAAAAATAACTATCAAGGGGTGGTTAGGGATCGCTACTGATGCCAAAAATGCAATCAGTAAAATTTTTGTCTGTCTGTCTGTCTGTCTGTATGTTCGTTATGGAAACAAAAACTACTCGACGGATTTTAACGAAATTTGGCACAATTATTCTTCATACTCTTGGACAGGTTATAGTATACTTTTCATTACGCTACGATCAATAGGAGCAGAGCAGTGAAGGAAAATATTGGGAAAACGGGAGAAGTTACTCCATTTTATAATAAAAATTCGGAACAGAGGTAGAGTATGGTGTGATGTAATACATTGGCATTTTCCCCCTGGGATCGCGGGCGAAGCCGCTGGCAGAAGCTAGTATTTAATAATTACCTGCCTATTTATGGAGATCGCAACTTGGACCTTGTTCTTAACGGCATTGAATAAAATTAAATGTGCACCTATTTTATCAGGTTCTGTAATTAAAATAAAAAAGTGCCTTTTTCGTTAAAAACGAATATTTCTTAGCAAAATGACTTTCTAAATAATTTGGAATATCAATCTGGGTAGATGCAGAACCTGCTTTTCAAAGAGTAGCGCGAAGATAAGCTGGTAAGAAGCGTCTAAAGCGAAGAGATAATGTAACCGAGGTTCCCGTAGGACGGGCCGCTTTGACGGGTGAATCGAATAAGTCGTCGGCAGAGAGAATAGTAATAAAATTGAACCGAGCGCCTGCCCAGATGTAGCTATGGATTTATCGCCAACTAAATACTGTGGCACACAGGCTGCAAGACGCTAGAAGATATTCGACTATGAAGATGTAGGAAACTGTTCAGTTAACTTGTTGCAAGTTTAACATTCATCACTAATATGATTTATAGGTAAGAACAGTTGTATCATGCACCCGAATGAATGAAATACTTAGTAGCACGAACGGTCTATATGTTATTTTTACTATGTACTGTCTAGACTAGGTTATGGAATTTGATTATAATGTAGTACTTCGAGTTCGTTTACGGCAAAAGTGAAAAAAAAAATATAAAGAGAAACACAAAGATTTATAGTACTATATTATACAAATTTGTTCAAAGCGAAATAGTTTGAAAGAAGCAGAATGTCTTATATTTTGCGCTCAGTGTACCACAGACCTCGCAGGTCGTCTCCGCTCGCTCGCTTACACATTCGTCGGGCTGCATCCAATATGTTTCCTAGCATATTGTCTTTAACAGCTCCATTATACCGACGATAGATTGTGCGGAAACCTCCGCTTCTGCCGCCTCCCTACATATTGCGACGAAAGAAATCTTTTTCCACATCTACGATGAATATTTTTGTTTGCTTACCAACAGCGTATTGGGGAAATGAATAATGAAGACGTATTTGTTGTTTGAGTATTCGGCAGATGTAGTACGCCAGGAATACATGTGTCCTTGTGTGTACTGTCTGCGTTTCCATCGTAAACAACATTTGTAATAAGTCATTTTATTAAGAATTGGTTTACAAAGCCGAGGGCTAAAGTCTTGTGTACATTTTTTCTAATTCGATGCAGTCAAGAGAAATAACTTGTGACTGTGTTTTAAGAAAACCACGAATAAATTTACTTTTTGACTTCGAAGCATAAAACGACAATGTAGAAACCGTTAAGTCAACATTATGCTTAAGAACCAAAACAAAATTACCTTATAAACCCACCTCTTACCCAGATGAGCTACGGCTACCTAGCTAAAACTTGCAAAAACAAACGGCAAAGTGAGGACCGGCAATGTCAATAGACCAGCTCAAATATTTCCCTTTAGAATAAAGTAGGTAAATACCCTTTAAAACCATAACCCACGAGGTTTCATCTAGGAGCCGCGCTACCATATAATTGAATGAATATTCACGTTTCTTAATCAATAGAGGCATTACTACCGAGGACCTACGGAAGCAACCAGCCGCCTGTGAAATTGGACTAGTATAGACAAGGATAGATATATGTGATGCGGTAGAGAGAGAAAGGGACGTGTATAGCGGAGCGAGCTTTTATAAATCATTTTTCCTGGCACGGAAGAGATTTAGGCTGGTTGCATGGTTCAGATTTTATCTTTAAAGTGTAGTCATTTTGTGTCCGTTTAGTCTTGATATGAATTTATTTTCTGAGAAACTAGTACATAAATCTAGGAAAGAGTAGACCATTTGTAGTATAAACTTAATTTGATCTTTAATGACATTTGTAATTTCGTTAGCATAATTATTGTCATTATTCAATGCAACGGAAATATTAAAAAGACTGCAATAATTTTATAAAGTTAAGCTTCTCACAACATAAGTTTAGTCGCAACCGTCTAACGCTCCTTAGTTGATAAAACGCTGAATCGCGATTATTTCTCTTTGCGTTTAGTTAATCAATTATTCTAATGTTGTTGGCGGAGACGCGTGCACGTTTGTGGCTTAACATTTTTACGTAACGAACGTCGCATAAATCTTATTATCATTTGTACACATGTGTTTTGTACGTTGCTGTGTAAACAATCAAAGGTAACGAGACTGTAAAGAAATATTTGGAATATAAGCAACATTATAGTCGAAGGAGAATATAATAATACCAATGGTAATCATAATATGAAGCATACATAAAATTATAAATACGTTTTTATTCACAGAAAAAAAGTCACTTAATTCATTACTAAGGGTGTTTTCCCTTTTTTTTTTTTTTTTAAGGGGGGAAAATCATCGAATGACTGCCCCCGCCTGGGTGAGGCGGGAGGGAGTGTCAGACTCTTACTGACTAAAAACCACCCCGTTCCTTCTCCTGCACGTCGAGCCGGAGCCCCGGTTACCCGTTAGGTTCTCCGCGACTCCGAATCGGCATCGGCCCTATTGGGCCCCATCTGTGGTGGTCTGATGGCTCTTTGAGGCGCGCGCGGAACGCGACGCGCCGTACGCTCGGGTCTGTTTCTGGTCGGACGGGGAGCCACCCATGCTCGCCGTCCGCAGGCCCGCGCTTACGGTGGCCGGAGATCGTCCCGCGATCCCCGACGCCCGGTGTGTCCTTCGCGATGGCTGGGTTGCGAGGAGGCAGCGCTTCGCTGCCTCACGCGTCCCGCCTCCTCCTTAGCTAGCATGACTGCTTCGCAAAAGGAGGAGACGGCATCCCAATCCCCCTCGCTCCGCATCATGGCCTGCACTAGGCCCGGACGCGAGAGGTCGCCATCGCCGATCACTTCCCTGAGGACACGGCGGTGCTCAGCCCACGAAGGGCATTCTCCCACCGTGTGTTCCACCGTGTCCTCAGGGCGGTCCTCGCAGTGATGACACCCGGGCGTTTCCTCCCGCCCCATCAGACACAGGTACCTCCCGAAACTTCCATGTCCGGTGAGGACCTGCGTCAGGCGGTAGGTGAGGACGCCGTAGCGTCTCTCAAGCCACTCCTCAAAGAGGGGACTTACCGCTGCGATGGCAGCGAGCCCAGCCCTCGGTTGCGACAGTCGTTGCTGCCATTCCGCCATGAGATCGCGCCGGAGCTCATCCCGCCACGCACTTATCTGGCGCGGCAGCGGAGTTTCGCCCCGGCGACGTGCCTCCGCGCGCATGCTGTGCACGCGCGCGAGCACCTTCGCCTCCAGATCCCACGGCGGTAATCCGGCAAGGAGGTTCGCCGACTCCCCAGAGATCGTGCGGTATCCGCGGATCATTCGGATCGCCATGACCCTCTGTGCCATGAGCAGCGTCCGAGCGGGACGCCGCAACAGGTTAGGCGCCCAAACAGGGGCGCCGTAGAGGGCCATGGACCGCACGACCCCGGCGTATAACCTCCGGCAGGAGGCGTTTGGCCCCCCGAGGTTGGGGAGGATGCGTTTAAACGCAGCCCCCGTCCTCTCCAACTTTGGAGCCAAACGTCGGAAGTGTTCAATGAAGTTCCACCGACTGTCGAGGACGAGTCCTAGGTACTTCATCGTCGTCTCGACGCCGATGGTAACTCCTCCCGCCGTTATTTGGGACCCACCCGGAGGTGGCGCGTTCCCGCGGCCATGAAAACACATGGCCTCGGACTTGTGGAGCGCCACCTCGAGTCCCAACTGCCGGATTCTCTCAACGACTGTCGCAACCGCTGTCGCCATTAAGTCGGCCGCCGCCTGGTGTGACCTCCCGTGCGCTAGCACCAGCGTATCGTCGGCGTAGCATATTGTGCTAACGCCGTTCGGGAGGTCGGTGCGCAGCACCCAGTCATAGCCGATGTTCCACAGGAGCGGCCCCAGAACCGAACCCTGTGGAACACCGCGTGACATCTCTCGCCGGTTCCACTCGCCCCGGTGACCGGGGTAGCTGACGGACCTGTCCGTCAGGTAAGCCTCGATTACACGACGGAGGTAGGTAGGCACCCGATGATATCGGAGTGCCTCCAAGATGCAGCTCCAGGGCAGGGAGTTGAAGGCGTTGGCGATGTCCAGAGACACCGCCACTACGACCTTACCCCTGGACACTGCAGTCCCCGTCGTGAGGTCTCTAACGCGCATGATGGCGTCCACCGTGGAGCGCCCTCTGCGGAAGCCGAACTGGCCGTCCGACAAGTCCGGCCCAATGTCCGTCAGGTGCGCGACGAGGCGGTTCGAAATGATTCTTTCGAAGACTTTCCCCACC